AAAAATCAAAAACATCAAACATTTACACCAAACAAACCAAAATAAATATAGATTTAGAATGATAGTTATAATTTAGGAGATTAAAAAAAACGTCAAAACTAAACTAATATTCATGCTAAACAGACATAATATCATTTTATCATAAAAGTAACAAAAGTAATAATCTCATTCCGCGCAAGGCGCGGGTTATTACCTAGTACACTTTTAAAATGAAAACAAGAACCGCATGTTCATACTCTAGTTTTATATCACCAAAGTATTTGACATGCTGTCAAGTAGAAAATATTGGTATAACTTTATTAATGGCCTTCTAACACTATAACAAAATCAACAACAACTCACATCTCCATATTAGTGGTTCGCACGTCCTTAGCTCGCGTTCCTCGTGTTCTTTATTAAAAAAAACTTGAGTAAGTATTTTGGACTGTTAATCTGTTAATTGTTATATAAGAGAAAGAAACTTGAGAGAAGAGAAGCATGGCTTTAGTCGCAAAATTCTGCATTTGCATCTGCATCTTTATTCTTACAGAACAGCAACGATTCAACCGTTTATCAAGATTTTTTTGTAAACTTTTACAGTTATGAACATGCTAAAGAGAAACATTTTAACCATGTTGAAACGCTATTTAATCATATACAGAGCCTAATCAACTGGATGCCAATGGTGTCTTCCACGGGCTTGGCATGACTATTTAAATATATCTACTTATTGTTATAACTCCTGAACGGCCAAGTCTACATAGGGTCCTTCCCCAATAGTGGAACGTGCCTGGCCTGGGAATACTATTTTAGACATTTATATATCCTTATTATGACACAACATAGTGTTTCTAATGAAGTTAATTAAATTGATAATATAGCGTTAAAACTATGGTATATTTTGAACGCAAGTGAAATATGTAAACACAGTTTCTTTGGTGAAACGGATGATAAGATATAATTGGTAGCATGATATCTGTTACTTATAACTGTAACTTAAAATTCTAGATATTGTTACATGTTAATCCTTAATAAAAACATCATATTAAACAGTAAAGATGTGGTATATATACATATATATAGTTCTATTTGGAAAAAGAAATTAAAGATATAATATTATATTTTTAATTTGTATACAAATGTTAAAACATAATAACTTTTTGGAATGGATGTTTAAAAAAGTAGATAAAAGAAAACAGTTTTTTTGATCAAATTTTTTTTTTTTTGATCAAGATAGAAGACAGCTGTTAAGGAGATTTACTGGTAGGGAAAATAAGGTACATATGCATGCTAATGTATTCCTAAGGAAAGATGCGTATAGTAGCACAATTTGGCATGCTGTATATATAGTGCCCCAAAATCCGTTTAGTAGATGAAGATTATGTGAGTATTAAACAAACTATTGACTTATAGCCTGTTAGAATGAATTTTGATGTTTAATAAATACAAAAGAAATCACATCTCTGATTTGCTGACCTGTCTCTGATAATAGCATTACATTATACTGAGATTTTTCTAATGACTTTTAGATATATAATGTGCACTTGATATTTCCTATTGCATGCATCAATTGTGAAACAAAACGAGAAAAAGAAATGGGGAGCTCAGATGCTCTCTTGCCCGTCATCTTCCGACCAAAACCATTATCATATTCAAGATCCGACCAGAACTCGGAAACCCGTCGGAGACAACCCATCAAAGTCCATCGCGCCGTCATATTTCTCTTGACCGTTTTGTACATCACTCTCATCCTCATACACAACGAATCCACAAGAACAAATGGCGTCAGTGATGAAACAACGACGGAGTCACGTGCTCATTTGGCCGGTGTGTCGGAGAAGAGAAACGTTCGGAAAATGGAACCGTTTGCGTGGAACAAGACGATGTTGTCGTGGCAACGAACGGCGTTTCATTTCCAACCGGAGAAGAACTGGATGAACGGTATGATAAATTGATTCAAACATTAGTGATTTTGTCATATATATGTATTTATATACCAAAAAAATAACACAAAGGGGTTAATTCCTCCTTTTTTTCCCTAACAATATCATAGAGAGTTTATTTTCCTTTTCGTTTCCCTGAAGATTAGTCCTTCACTCTTTTTTAATATATTAATAAGTATATCGCTTAAGGAACACGAGTTGTTTGACCCAAAAAAAAGGAACCTGAGTTAAGTAATCACGCAAGAGTGTGTCCAGTGTATACATTTTTACTTTAAATCCGTCGAATTTTCAATCATGGATCAAACAAAAAAATTTTGGATCATACAATTTTATGCTCTTTTCTGTTACATATATGATCTGATTCCTTTCGCATTTAATTGTTTTATGCCATGTTCTTTTTTGGCTCTTATTTTCTCTATCCAATGGCGTCTATGAACGGGAACTATTTGGCTTCTCCATCTGCAGATCCTAATGGTTAGATTCAACTCTCTTCATTTTTCTAATTTGTAGAAGTAAATATTCTTTTCGTTTGACTTTGTTTTTGTTGTTTCTATAAGATAAGTATGGGCCACGTATTATAAAAGTTGATTGGCTTTCATTATGAAACTTTCATAATTGGTAGAACACATATATGTTGACAAAAAGGTAGATATATTTAGAAAGGCAAAAAAAACAATTTACTAGAAATGAAAAAAAACAATTTGTCAGTCGTTTGCGGAGAAAGTGGGGAAAATATTCACAGTGCACCTGAATGATTTTCAAAAGCTCTATTGTTAAGGTCTAATTATTTATCTGCTACGCTTCATATACGACGAGGGTCATGTGCAATTGTACAAACTGCATGCCAGTTAATATGTTTAGCTGTCTAGTTTGCAGTCCGAATCCGATCAACTCGTTCTAGTTACCCAATTCACCAATGATTTCATTATGCATCACAAGATCCATACATTAAAAAACTTGTGTTTTCATCACATCAAATGAACTAATGTTAATCATGGATCCAGGTCCATTGTTCTATAAAGGATTTTATCATTTCTTCTATCAATACAATCCAAATGGAGCCGTTTGGGGTGACATTGTTTGGGGTCACGCCATTTCAAAGGATCTTATACACTGGCGTCACCTCCCATTAGCCATGGTTCCTAACCAATGGTACGACATTAACGGCGTCTGGACGGGTTCAGCCACTTTGCTTGATGATGGCTCCATTGTCATACTCTACACCGGTTCGACCAACAAGTTCGTACAGGTAAGGATTTAAAATCCTCTTCATCTTTTTTACTCGTGATCGTTGATTTAATAGTTTTATAAGATTTTAATATTAGGTTTTCATAATATTTGTGATGGTTTTGTAAAACGTAAATAACTAATATCTACTACTGGACTCAAATTTAGTAATACGTTTCTTTTGAACGTGTTGAACTAACTACAACTTAATTCACTATTGAGATCATTCCAATGTGGTCGGACCAGTTGATTATATTAGACTATTAACAATCATTAATTCGTAGGTTCAAAATCTTGCCTATCCTGAGGATCCTAGCGACCCACTTTTATTGAAATGGACCAAGTTTTCCGGAAACCCTGTTCTTGTACCGCCTCCTGGTATCAGCGTAAAGGACTTCCGTGACCCAACAACGGCATGGAAGACATCGGCCGGAAAATGGCGAATTACTATTGGTTCCAAAGTCAATAAAACCGGAATATCTCTAGTCTATGACACAACCGATTTCAAAAAATTTGAGAAGCTAGATACCTTGTTGCACCAAGTCCCTAATACCGGAATGTGGGAATGCATTGACTTTTACCCAGTGTCGAAGACTGAAGTCAACGGGCTTGACACTTCTGCCAACGGACCAAATGTGAGACATATTGTGAAGGCTAGCATGGACGATACTAGGGTCGACCATTATGCCATTGGGACGTATTATGATTCAAATGGAACATGGGTCCCGGATGACCCTACTATCGATGTTGGGATGAGTACCGGTTTGAGATATGATTACGGGAAATTTTATGCGTCAAAGACGTTTTACGATCAAAATAAGAAACGCAGAATCTTGTGGGGTTGGGTTGGTGAATCCGACAGTGAAGCTGCCGATGTACAAAAGGGTTGGTCTTCTGTTCAGGTATGTTTTCCCTACTTAACGTGGTAGGGAAGTTAGGGCTTTGATGTGTTAGTTACTTGTGACCCAAGTTAAAGGGTTAAATTTGTTAAATCATGAGCAGAGCATCCCTAGGACTGTCGTCCTAGACACGAAGACGGGAAAGAACTTAGTCCAATGGCCAATTGAAGAAATAAAATCTTTGAGATTGAGCAGCAAGAAATTTGATATGAAGGTTAAACCAGAGACCACGGTTCAGGTTGAAGTGAGTTCTGCAGCTCAGCTAGACATAGAGGCTGAGTTCGAGATCAACAAAGAAGATCTCAAGAAAATAACAGGAGATGAGTCGGTGGAGCCTGAAGAAGATTTCAGTTGCGAAACAAGCGGAGGTTCAACTGTGAGTGGTGCTTTAGGGCCTTTCGGATTCTCTGTTCTTACTGATGAAAGCTTATCGGAACAAACCACGGTTTATTTCTATCTGACTAAGGGGAAAGATTCTAAACTCAAGACTTTCTTTTGCACTGACACCTTAAGGTAAGTAATTCCTCAGCAAGATAATCGATCCATCTATATATATATTAATAAACTCTTCATTTTTATATAAAGTATTAATAAATTCTTCTTATAACACAACTAAGTAATTACAATTTCTATTAAATGCAGATTTTTTTTTTTTAAAAATAAATATATATATATATATCTTGTAGATCCTTCAAAATCAGATTTTTTTTGTTTTTGTTTTAATGAAACTTAGGTTGTTACCAATTGAACACCTAAGATTACCTGATCCAAAGCGAATAAAAACGTAGAAAGCTAGAAGGATGGGAGAAAATAAACAAAGCGTTATCTGATCCAAAGCGAGAATAGATTTATGACTCATGGAGTTATTGTTAATCATATTGTCCTTTTATAGGTCGACCATGGCAGCAGATGTGGTTAGATCGGTATATGGAAGCTTCGTACCGGTCCTAGAAGGGGAGAAATTGACTATGAGAATCTTGGTAATATGTTAAAGTGTCATTTAAATACTAGCCTAGTATTAGTTTTTACTTTATAAATTACTAAATTTTAATTTTTTGTAGGTGGATCATTCGATAGTAGAAGGATTCGGACAAGGTGGGAGAACATGTATTACGTCAAGAATATATCCGACAGAAGCCATCTACGGAGCTACGAAGCTCTTCTTGTTCAACAACGCCCTTAATGCCACCATTACGGCGTCATTTGAAATCTGGCAAATGAACAGTGCTTTGACTCGTCCTTACTCTGCAGACGACTTGGTGCTTCACAGTTCATCATGAAAATATAAAATGCATGTGGGTGTTGATTGTCTACTACTTTGGGCATGGGTTTGGTTAAGTTTTGAGGCGTTGGAAGGTTTATGTTCATTAGAAGCTCCGGACTTGGTCCATCTTCGACAAGACACCCAAAACACTAAATTTAGTGTTATTTCATCTCCAACAAGATATCAAAATTAATGTCAATTCATCAAATTTGGTATAATGTGAATAATATTATCAATTATGTGAATAGTAATATATCACGCCAAATCTTTAAAATACATATTTTATTATGTTTCATTTAACGGTACGATTCAATTACTATCAAATAGTACATAAATATATTGTATTATTTTATTTAAATTTATTTTTACATAATTAAAAAATTAATTTTTTACTTTTATTTTAAAAATAAATCACTAAATAATTATTATCATTTATCACTTAAAATAGTAAAAATATAAATAATAACCTCAATGTGATGAAATAATTATTTATTCATTGTAAATTATAAAAATCTAAAACATTAAAGCTGAAAACATCAAATAATATTAATATTACTTTTGATCTAAAATTTGGTGTCCCTGTTATGACACCAAAACACTAAATTGATGTAATTTCGACACCAATTTTTTTTAGTTGTTGTTTTCTTAGGGAATTTGCATTGACTAACACAAATTATAGTAATATTTCACTTTTAGGTGTAAATGCACAGTTATATTAGTAATTTATTAATAATTATCTAAATTTTTTTAAAAATTCACACCAAAATCTCTCATCTTATTTTTCTAATCTCCTATATATTAATTTTAGAGCACTACAACATTTAAGTGTAGTCACGTGTCATCACTAGGATCACTCTTAGAATTATTAGAAAAGTATGTTGATCCATTTAAATATAAAGTATATTTTTATAAAATTAACACAAAATGATTTGTAGTGCATAAAGAATATTCTTCATTCTTTCTTTAAATAAAACCTACCAAATTACCTAATATGATATATATATATATATATATATATATATATATGTGTGTGATAATTAATTATTTTAAATAATAAAGATTTGATAATAGTTTTTGCATCCTCCATCATTTTTCTTTAATTTATATTTTTTAAAGAAAAAATAATCACATTAACCATATAATAAAAAATTATATTTTTTCTTATATATTATATTTTAATTTTTAACACGGCTATAAATTACTAAAACTGTTAAAAGCTTTACAATGAAAATTTTGGGAATAATTGTTTTACTTTTTTGTTATAAAAATATAGAAACCCCCGATATATTAATTCTAGTGCATTACAACATGTTTTTGTAACCATGTGTTATTACCAGGATAACTCTCAAAATCCTTACAAAAAATAAGTTGATCCATATTATTATGTATTATATTTTTTATTAAACTAACTATCAAATTAGTTATTAGTGTACAAAAGAATATTCTTTATTTCCTTAAATAAAAGCAACGGAATTACCTAATATGATTAACATATAGATGACAATTAATGATTATGCTATAAGTAAAAAGGAGAAGATGAGAATTTGTGTGTCTTATTCATGACTAAAGAGATCATTGATATATGATTATAATAGCTTGGAGACCAAGTAGAACTCGGAGAACAAGTAAACTTGGAAATAAAGTAAATCTAGAATATTCTATAATAGATATCACTAATATATTCATAACACTTTCTCTTGATGTCTATTATACCAAAGTGTTTCAAAATGCCATAGATGTTGCCTCGTTAAAAACCTCACTAGGAAAACCCTATGGGAAAAACCACAGTTAAGGGAAAAAGAGTGCAGCGCGTAATGACTTCCTCTCATGTGCACATACGTCAAGATCTTTGAGATGATGCAATCCAATAGGTGAACTAATTTCTTGAAAGTGACACTGAATACACCTTAAATTAAGCTAATCAAAACTATTACTTGAATGAACATGTAGGATGTTGATATCGCCATTCTTCGATAATGGTTACGTCTTGTATGATTTAATCATTTTCTTGGATTCTCTATATATCAAAAACTGTAGAACATTGACAGACTTTCTCTCTGAAAGTGTAACTTTCTCTTTGAATATATATCATTTGCCTGTTTTTTGTTGCCTCGTTAAAACTTTGTCAAAGAAAAACTAGTGGGATAAAAAACATGATAAGGAAAACGAAAACAACCACACAATCATATTTTTTTTCCCTGGAAGCAATATCTTCAAGATATGCATTCCAGTTGAATATATCTCTTTTGAGATTAAACATAATAAACTCTTTTGATTTCTGTTATAATATTTATGTCTTTGGACTTTTTGTCTATATTTCCCCTTTGACATAAATACAATTTCTTAATCTTTTTTAGACTTCAAGCCAAACATCTTTACATACAATCATATAACCATAAGTCTTATACAGCTAAACCTCTATAAATTAATTATGTTGGGACTTCAACAAAATTTTATACTTTTATTAATTTAGAGAGATATTAATTTATCGATATACGAATCGAACCAAAAACTCAATTTGGGACTATAAAATTATATTATTTTATAGAGATATTTAGTGTATATTAATTTATCGCGTATTAATTTATAGAAGTTCTACTGTACATACACTACAAGAAAACTAAGAAGTTACTACGAAATTTTACTAGGAAAACAGTTCCTCGTAAAGTTACTACGAACTTACTTTGAAATTACGAGGAAACCATAATTCCTCGTAAGGTCCTCGTAAGGTCCTCGTACAGGTACGAGAAAAATATTTCCTCGTAACACCGTAGTAACGTTACGAGGAAATTACGTGGCAATAGTACATTTCCTCGTAAGTCCGTAGTAAATTAGTTTCCTCGTAAAGTCCTAGTAAAATCTTACTACGAAATTAAGAGGAACAGATTTGTTACTACGAAATTAGGAGGAACTGGATAGGAAATATGCAATTTAAATCAAAAACGTGTTTTGTACCAACATTTCCTAGCAATTTCCTAGTAAATGCTCAGATTCGAAAATTTCTATAAATACCACAATTGTGATTCATTTGAAACACACCAAAAAAATAATCAGCTATAAGCTTGATCAAACACATAAAAATGTCCGGTCCGGGAAATATTTTCGAGTTGCAGAAGTGGATGTATTCACACAGAGATAATAACGGGAGGGTGACGAATGAATATCTCGAAGGGTTTGAGACGTTTATGCATCAGGCAGATTCTACACCACTCACGCAGGAAAGTGGTAAGATGTTCTGTCCTTGTCGGAAATGCTGAAATAAAAAATTAGGTCATCTTGAAAATGTTTGGAAGCATTTAATAAATAGAGGTTTCATGCCATATTATTATATTTGGTATCAACATGGAGAAGATGATGCTAGTTGTAGGAATGAAGGTAGCAGTAGTAATAGCAATTTTCAGGTTGAATCGGTTGATCATTTGCGTAATGAAAATAGCTATCATCACCAAGAGGAACAAATGATAGATTGTGATAGGGTACATGATATGGTAGGTGATGCCTTTGTAACTCATGATGATGATGAAGTTGAAGAACCTAACTTAGATGCAAATTTTTTTTATGAAATGTTAGATGCTGCGAATGAGCTAATTTACAGTGGTTGTAGAGAAGGCCTGTCTAAATTGTCGTTGGCTGCTAGAATGATGAGTATTAAAACTGATCACAATCTACCTGAAAATTGTATGGATGCATGGGCAGACTTGTTTAAAGAGTATTTGCCAGAAGACAATGTGTCTGCTGAATCTTATTATCAGATTCAGAAATTGGTATATAGTCTTTGGTTGCCCTCGGAGAAGATAGACGTTTGCATCAACAACTGCATGATTTACTGGGGAGATGATGAGAAGTTAGAAGAATGTCGATTTTGTAAGAAGCCACGATTCAAACCGCAAGGTCGAGGGCGTAATAGGGTACCGTACCAAAGGATGTGGTACCTACCAATCACAGACAGATTGAAAAGATTGTACCAAACTGAGGAGACTGCTGGAGGGATGAGATGGCACACCGAGCATACTCAGACGGATGGAGAGATGACTCATCCATCAGATGCAAGAGCCTGGAAACATTTTAACAATGTACATCCACATTTCGCTAGCAATAGCCGGAATGTGTATCTTGGATTATGCACTGATGGATTCATTGTGGCCGGTCTTTCTTACACCGTATAACTTGCCACCGGAGATGTGCATGCGACGAGAGTTTCTATTCATGAGCATATTAATACCTGGTCCAAAACATCCAAAAAGATCTCTCGACGTTTTTCTACAACCACTGATAAAATAGTTGAAAGATTTGTGGTCAACAGGGGTGAGGACATATGATTGTTCAACGAAAACAAACTTTACGATGCGAGCGATGCTTTTGTGGACCATAAGTGACTTTTCTGCATATGGTATGTTGTCTGGGTGGACTACACATGGGAGATTAGCTTGTCCATATTGTAATGGAATGACAGATGCGTTTCAGTTGAAGCATGGTGGGAAGACTAGTTGGTTCGATTGTCACTGTCAATTTCTTCCCATTCACCACCCATACCGAAGAAACAAGAAATTGTTCAGGCACAAAAGGGTTGTCAGAGACACTCCTCCTCCATATTTAACTGGAGAACAAATCGAAGCGCAAATCGATTACTACTGCGCTCTAGAAACAGCTCCTCGTGGTGGGAATTGGCATGTTCCCAGTAATATGTCTGATTCTTATGGTGTTCAGCACAATTGACAGAAAAAGAGTATATTTTGGGAATTGCCATATTGGAAAGATCTTCTTTTGCGCCACAACCTCGATGTGATGCATATAGAGAAAATTTTTTTTGAGAACATCATGAACACTATATTGAATGTCCCAGGGAAGACGAAAGACAACATAAAATCAAGGTTGGACTTACCCGATATCTACTCAAGGAGTGAATAATCGCTGGAGAAGAACCACCATTACAAGAAGAAAACACCAATGAGATCGAGGAAGCTGAGGCAGAAATTGATGAGTTCCTACTCATTGATCCGCATAATCGTGAATACGAAGCTGTTCCTGATCATTCTACGGACGAAGGTGTAGACGACGACTTTTTAGAAAATGATGATGTCTCAACCGATTACGACAATGTATCCGAATGAATTATGTATGTTTATAAGTTTGTTTAATCACAAAAATGAATTTTCATTATATATGTTTTAAGTTTGTTTAATCACAAAATCAATTTTCATTTGGGGTTTGGGGTTTATGTGTAGAAGAGGTTAGGATTTTGGTTGTAGAAGAGGTTATAAGTTAAGGAAGTTGGGGTTTGGGGTTTCGAGTTTA